TGTCCAAGCGGATGCAGTTTTTAGCTGGAGGCCAGATGCGGGCTGAGCAGTCAATGCATCAGTCAATTCCTGCTGCAACCATCCCCCCCGCCCAGACAACCCCCAGGCATTGGTAAATTTTCATTTTTCGTGCAAATGCCCAGGGGGTAGGGCCAAAAAAGGAACAATGCCCCACCCTTGGGACAAAAAACAAAACAAATGCCCCACCCCCGGGCTGACAAATTAGTCAATTTCAAAGAATGTACTAAATTAATTACATGTGTTTTAACAATTTGTATTTATACCTCTGTTAATTGTTCTTTTGGGAATTTACAAAAAAACAAAAACATTTCAGATGAAAACAGCGACAAAAGGCTGTGACAAACTTGCTTTTATCAGGGGTTTCAGAATGATTTGAGATGACGTTTAATACTCATGTTATACATATGTTTATTGTTATACTTCATCACTTTATCATAATCAATTCACTGTCAAAGAATATAGTCACTTGAAAAACATTTACCAAAGTAGCTCTGAATCCGACTCGTTCTCTGGTCGTTCTCTGGCTCACTGTCAAATTCTGATTCCCCAATGCTTAAGTCACTGTCAGAGTCAAATCAGTCAATCAGAGTCATCTTCCTTCTTCCTGTTCAGGAAGATTCAGAGCCGCTGTTGCTACGAAATTCAAGATTGGTGACAAGAAAACAATTAAGAATGTTTATATTATCGCTTTTTCGACAGCAACTTATTAAGAAAGAAAGCTATGTTTGGTACTATGTATTATTGATCTTATTGATCTTCCAAAATAAGTGATGTTTTGTTTGAATTCCAATTGGAACATAACAAACATCGTGTTGGTTCGCTTGTACCTTTGTATATAATTTTTTTCCTGTGACCAAACAAAAAGTAGTCGGCGGTAAAAGTTCAAGTAGCCGGCGGAACTCCGGCAGCTGCCGGCTTATTCTGAAACCCCTGTTTTATTGCAGAAAGTTTTTCATTGAAAATACAATATATATAATATGGACTGAAGGAAAATCTTAAACATTGATTCATACTTGAAAACCAACATTCGACAATAATATAATATAAAATTTGTTTAACGTATTTAATGGTTGTCCATTTTGGCATACAACAAAGGAAACTTGTGGCCGCAGTCTTTTCTCTGTGAGCGACAAATGCCCGGGGATAATAACCCGATATTGACAAATGCCCGGTCCCTGGGTGAACACGCAGCTGCAAATGCCCGGCCGTGGCGACAAGTAAGCATACAAATGCCCCGCACTGTCCGGGGGGTGGATGGTCGCAGCTGGAATTGACTGAATGCATAATAAACTAAATCGCAAAGCAATTCCTTAAACTATTACTTGTTTAGCATCCCCACCCGACCTGATAAAAGTCCCCTAATTTTTTTTAGAGTTTAGTGCAAAAACTCTCTATAAAAAAGACCGTTTTACTTGAAAAAATGGTGATTTTATTCTTCTGGGAGCTATGTAATACGTTTACACAAAATTTCTTTCCCAGAATATGCCTGTTCGCAACTAAAGTGTTTGCGTTTGCCCGCCAATTTTCTGTTTTATTAAAAACATGAACGGTATTAAAAAACATGAATGGATTTTGAAAGAATTAAAGTGAGTTTTGACTGTGGTAATATGCTGGATTTCCTGCATTTAGCAAAATTTGTGTTGCATTTTACGAAAAAAAAAAAACCCCCGCCCGCCCGAACCTAGAAAAATTAAAATGGGTGGACGCTAAACAAGTAATTTTTTTTTATGTGGCCTAAAAGACTTTAAATGGATGTTATACTGTAGGAATGAATGGATATATTTGCAAAAATTACTTTCTTTAAATATCATCATTGTAGTTCACCTCAAATTCTTCAAAATTTTCACAAAATTGTCATTATGCCACGAATAAACCTCAGGCAAGTTAATATATATAACCCATCCACTCACTCAACATGAATATGTCGAATATGGACCCCTTAATAAACCCCAGCAAAATGAGACATGATATATCCTTCATACATCAAGATTTAAACTATATCGACACAAGAACAAGCCCAAATACCTTAGGAGCAGCCACACCAGAGTATTTTCAGCAGCTTCTGAACAGATTACGGCGCTTGTATCGACGCCAAAAGACCATCACATTTCAAGCTTCAACCACGTGTTGTAATTCAGTAAGCTTCACAGAATAGCATCTTCTGAAGGAATTTGCAGCCCTTTTGGAGCGGCTAAGAACACAAGAAAGTCCATTCTTTAAAGATAAGTGGTTATACTTGGATAAAATCGAAAAAATAAAGGTTTTAGAACGAATATTTTGATCTAAAACTCGATTTAATGTTGGCTTTTATTGAAGCTCTTTCAATTTCCACGCCATTGCTAAAATCTTCTACACGTGTTAGCCTGGCGCGGGCAAAGCCTGGATGCGGCCGCAAAGGCGTTTGGGTCAAAGGGGAGGGGTCAAAGGGGGAGGGGTCAAAGAGGGAGGGGTCAAAGGGGGAGGGGTCAAAGGGGGAGGGGTCAAAAAGGGAGGGGGAAGGAAATGTTCCCGGACTAACTTAATTTTTTTTCGGACAAACATAACCAGGTATTATAAATTGTTAAAATTGGGAAGGAAAACATAACTTTGACGAAATTTTGCCAACTTTGACCAACTTTAACCAAATATTTTCCTTTTTGACCCCCTCTCCAATAGCGTCGTCCCTCAGATTCTGATCACGGGATTACGCAGGGACGCCGGAACGAAGATTTTCGTGAAAGGGCACTTGTTCATATGGGCAAAAGTTATCCCGGTTAACGAGGGAACTTTTCGACTAGCCAAATACTTTTGTTCTGTTCATATATCCTTCTATTTTTTAAATATTTTACAAATAAGTTAACAAATGCATACTAAAACTTGCGAAACACTAAATTCTGTTGCTTTGTTTATTTGGTTATTTCATAAGTAACATTTAAACGGATTTAAAGTTTTACGTGCGTATACGTACGTATGAAAAACGCAACAGTGGAAATCAGCCTTTACCGGGAAAAGTTTCCGGCTGTGACGTAGCACTGAACATCAATTGAATTGAAAAGTTGCTGACACGACAAAAAGTTATCCCGCTAAGCGGGAAAGTTGTGTTCATATGAGGAAAACATTATCCCGGTCACCGAGATCCCGCCTGTGAACAAGCGAGATCTCGGTACACGGGAAAACTTTTCGTCTCATATGAACGCAATGTAACTTTTCATATTATTTTCGTAACAAGGCGAGATCTCGCTCGTAAACTTGTCGAAAGGTTTTCTCGCTAACCGGGATAACTTCTGCCCATATGAACAGGCCCTGTTCATGTCCTGGTATCTGTCAGTGGTACTTCCACCAACAATCAACAAGTTATCATCAAATAATTGCGTGCTGTGATATTTTCTTGGTTCTGGCATTCTTGATAAGGTCTTCACAGTATATGGAGGAACCAGCTGGACTTCATGAATACAGTCAGATGCTGCATCCCCATTATAACCACCAGTGACTATCAAGTAATCATTATACAGCACACTGCTGTGGCATGCCAACTTAGCAGGTAGAGTTGCCTCCAGCAATTGAGTTGCCTCCAGCAATTGTCACATGATTGTTGCAAACAAATGAAGTTGCTCCCCAACGCTTCTTTGGCAAGGATTGTAATGGGGACCATGTACTTTGACGCCAGTTTAAACATCTCTACAGAGTCGGTTCCTCGACCTCCAGCAACAATTATATTTTCCTTATCACCACTTGCTGTATTTCTTACTTTTCTTGTGTTTTCTTCCATCTTGTCCTCCATCTTGACAAAAACATCCTTCACTTCATCAAAACCTTCAATCAAAGCTGTTTTCAATCCTCTTACTTCATTATTTACTGCTTCGAGTTTTCCTTCCATATCTGCCGCATTTTTCTCCATATTCTTCTCGACATTCGCCATTCTTTTCTCCATTTCTCCGCACGAGTGGGACTTCTACTTGCGAAATTCACATAGTTCACTTTGATGGTGAATAAGATCACGCTGGTTTAAAGTTACACCACAGCCATGGTTTGTACAAACGGCTGGTGTAAATCCACATGTAGACTCATGGTTGTCAATATGTTGCAGTTGTAAGATCTCGTGACAACCTCTGTTGTTGTAAACGCAATGAATCTTCAATTCATTTAAATAATCTTTCACCATTCTGTTGGGTTCGGCTAGAGTCTCTACAGTCAGTACGTCCGCACACGTAGGGCATCTTCGTGAATTCTCAAGGTGTTTCGTTATACAAGAACGGCAGAAACAATGTTGATTTCTCGGACACAGAACTGGGTCTTTAAGGACATTGAAGCAAATCAGACAGAGGAAATTTCGATTGACTGTGGTCGCAAATCTATCCTCATCATATCCTTGTATACGACGCCATATTTCACGCCATTCTTGTTTCGTAATAACTAAGGAAGTTCTGTGTTAATGTTAGTCGCTCTGCAGTATAAACCTCGCTATATAGGATGAATATAGATACAGTGTTCGTTCTTCAAGAAAGAACAAATATCGCTTGTAAATATGATATCGCATGAAATAGAATATTTAATGTATTGTGACCTAAGGTCATCACCTGATATTAATACTGGCTCGCAATTGGGCACCTTATGTTGACAAGCATTTCTTGTTTCAAAACTATGGAAATTAGTTCCAAGAGAATGACATTTTATACCAAGAAATATCAATCTTAATAATGCAAATAAATTGCGCAAATGTTAGTACGTCGATGGGGATGAAGTCTGTATTACAATTTGATTCAAATCATTCACAAAATTATGTCTTCAGAGCAACAGACCAATATCGCTTCCGTGCAAGTTTTTCAAGCGTCTTTTGCAGACTGGTATTTGTTTATACAAGATAGAATATTTAATGTACCGCGATGGGTGGTCATCACCTCATATTAATACTAGCTTACAATTGGGTACCTTATGGTTGCGACAAACATTTCTTGGAAATTAGTTCCAAGAAAATTAGTCCCTGGAAATTAGTTCCAAGAGAATGATATTTTATACCAAGAAAGATATATCAGTCTCAATAACCTATATAGGTTCAATAACCTAAATAGAATATTGTTATAAAGTCTGTGTTCCAACTTGCTTCAAATCTTTCCCCAAATTGTGCCTTTAGGTACGGCGATGGGTGACGTGTCATGATGTCATATTAATACTGGCTTCCAGTATAAAAAAGCAGTTAGGTTGGTGTTACTTCATGTCACTTTGTCGTAACATGAGTCATACACAAATTTACGGCCATCAATCTTATCATCTTACAATCAAATGTTTAATTTTTACTGTGAATCAGTCGCTTTATTTGTACCTCATGCATGCAAAAATGTGAGAGAAAAAATATATTTGTTATTACACCAGATCAAAATTACTCTAATAGTTTGGTTCAGAATTTAACACGAGTCACCATCGAATTACCCATGCATTCTCACATAATTGTTCACACAACAATAGCGGCGTGCTGATATCGTCCTTCAGACATTTCTGGAAGTTCTTGCCAAGTATAACTTTCAAAGTTAAAAGCTTCAACTGAACTTAAGTCAGGTAATCGCTTACCTTTCCCTCCGAATGCTACAATGTTGTTTTCAATAACAACTGCAGCACATCCCTGTCTCTTATATTTCATTGATGGTAACATGTCACTATGTCCAGTCTTGACATTGTAAATGATAACTGTATCTAATGCTTTGGCACGTTTGTCAACGCCACCTATAACAACGATGTTGTCTCCCCATCTCACAGTTGCCATCTCGCTCACTTCATACGGCAATGGTGCCAACTGTTTATATTCATTCTTCTTTATATCATACAGTAAGACACTGCTGAGGCTGTCTTGGTATTTCTGGGTTGTCGCTCCACCAAGGATCAACAAGTTATCATCAAATAATTCCGTGCGGTGAAGCTGTCTTGGTTCTGGCATTCTCGATAAGGTCTTCACAGTATAAGGAGGAACAACCTCGATTTCATAAATACAGTCAGTTACACCATCTGTATATTGACTATAGCCACCAGTGACTATCAAGCGATCATTATACAGCACGCTGCTGTGACATTTCAACTTGTTAGGTAGTTTAACAGGACAGCGACTCCAGTGTATTGAGAGATCAGGGTTTCGGTTAATATTCATTCGAACCATATCATCGATTTCGTCAGGAAACCAACCCGTAGCAATTGTCATATGATTGTTATAAACAAATGAAGTCGGCGGTCCAAGATATACCTTGGGCAGGGATTGTAATAGCGACCATGTTCTTTGACGCCAGTTAAACATCTCTAGAGGGTTGGACGTTCCACAACCGCCAGCAACAATTATATTTTCCTTATCACCACTTGCTGTATTTCTTGTGCTTTCTTTCTTTCTTTCTTAATGTCCTCTATATAAGACGCCATATTTCACGCCGTTCTTGTTTTGTAATCACAAAGCAAGTTCTGTGCTGATGTTAGTTGCTCTGTGGTAAAAACCTCGCTATATACAGACTGAATATAGATACAGTGTTCGTTCTTCGAGAAAGTCTGTGTTAGTATTTACTTGAAATCTTTTCCAAAATGATCTGTTTAGAGTAGCAGATAAATATTATATTGCTTCCGCATAAAGTGTTTAAAGCGTTTTTACAAGACAGGAATTTACTGGCATGACTAGTAGAATATTTAACGCTTGTGACTAAAGGTCATCACCTGATATTAATACTGGCTTGCGATTGGTAACATTATGTGAACAAGAATTTGTGTTTCAAAATATGGAAATCAGTTCTCAGAAAATGATCTTTTATACCAAGAAAAATCAATCTTAACTGATGACGTATATAGACTGAGCATATTATCATCATCGATGTGGATAAAGTCTATATTACAATTTGCTTTAAACCATTCACAAAATCATGTCTTTAGAGCAACAGACCAATCTCGCTTCCATGCAAGTATTTCAAGGGTGTTTTGCAGACTGGTATTTGTTTATATTCTATTCTAGAATATTTAATGTACCACGATGGGTGGTCATCACCATATTAATACTGACTTGCAAAAACTTATGTTGACAAGCATTTCTTGCTTCAAAATATGGAAATTAGTTCCCAGAAAATGATATTTTGTACCAAGAAATATCAGTCTCAGTTACCTAGATAGACTAGCGATATTATTTTGATTGGCGTGGATAAAGTCTGTATTAGAATTTGCTTAAAATCTTTCGTAAAATTGCGTCTTTGGGAACGGCGATGGGTGACGTGTAATGATAGAGCATTTTATGAAATACATTTAAGATGTTGCATGTTTTGTAGTTCAGACAGCAAATTAAAGATAAGATATTCAGTGAGAATCATGTCGTATTATTATTGACTTGAAACCCGCATAACCCCGTTCCCGTTCAAGGTAACACGTGATCTTAATAGAGATGTTTGATTGGCTAAAACGTTTGCTAAAACTAACCTCATATTGATTGTAGCACGCAAACACCAATAACTTTTGATTAGACAGCACCATGGACTGAACGTTCTGGAATTAGTCTGCAAAGAAAGAAAAAGATCATTTTCTGGGAACTGATTTCCATATTTTGAAACACGAAATTCTTGTTTACATAATGTTACCAATCGCAAGCCAGTATTAATATCAGGTGATGACCTCTGGTCACAAGACATTCAATATTCTACTTCATGCCAGCAAATTCCTATTTAGTAAAGACTCTTTAAACACTTTATGCGGAAGGGATATTTATCTGCTACTCTAAACAGATCATTTTGGAAAAGATTTCAAGCAAATACTAACACAGACTTTCTCGAAGAACGAACACTGTATATATCTATATTCAGTCTATATAGCGAGGTTTATACTACAGAGTGACTAACATCAACACAGAACTCGCTTTGTTCGGCGTGAAATATATGGCGTCTTATATAAAGGATATTAAGAAAGAAAACACGACAAATACAACAAGTGGTGATAAGGAAAATATAATTGTTGCTGGAGGTTGTGGAGTTGAATCTGTTGAGATATTTAACTGGCGTCAAAGAACATGGTCGCCATTACAATCTCTTCCTGAGGTGCATCTCGGAGCGACTTCATTTGTTTATAACAATCATGTGACAATTGCTTCAGGTTGCTTTTATCACGACATCGATGATATGATTCGAATGAATATTAACCCAAACCCTGATCTCTCAATGCACTGGAGTCGCTGTCCTGTTAAACTACCTACCAAGTTGATAAGTCACAGCAGTGTGCTGTATAATGATCACTTGATAATCACTGGTGGTCATAGTCGAAATTCAGGTGGTGTATTGGAGTGCATTTATGAAGTCGAGGTTGTTCCTCCTTATACTGTGAAGACCTTATCACGAATGCCAGAACCAAGACGGCTTCACAGCACGCAATTATTTGATGATAACTTGTTCATCGTTGGTGGAATAACGACCCACGAATACCAAGACAACCTCAGCAGTGTCTTACTGTATGATATAAAGAAGAATCGATTTAAACAGATGACACCACTGCCGTATGAAGTGAGCGAGATGGCAACTGTGAGATGGGGAGACAACATCGTTGTTTTAGGTGGCGCTGACAAACGTGGCAAAGGATTAGATACAGTTATCATTTACAATGTCAAGACTGGACAAAGTGACATGTTACCATCAATGAGATGTAAAAGACAGGGATGCGCTGCAGTTGTTATTGGAAACAACATTGTAGTAATGGGAGGGAAGAGTAAGCGACTACCTGACTTAAATTCAGTTGAAGCTTTCAACTTTGAAAGCTATACTTGGCAAGAACTTCCAGAAATGTCTGAAGGACGATATTTGCACACTGCTGTTGTTGTGTGAACAATGTGAGAATGGGTATTTCCATTGTGACTCATGTTACATTTTGAACCAAACTATCAGAGTAATTTTGATCTGGTGTAATAACTAATACACATTTTTTCTCTCACATTTTTGCATGCAGGTACAAATAAAGCTACTGATTCACAGTAAAAATTAAACATTTGATTATAACATGATAATATTGGTGGCCGTAAATTGATGTGTGACTCATGTTACGACAAAGTGACATGATCAGGTAACACCATGGATTGTAAAATAACTGGATAGGAAACTTCCTGACGTCACAGTCCAAACCTAGTTGCAATCTGTGACGTCACGTGTTTTGCCAAAGTTCTCAGCATTTTTGTTGTTTCGCTATATTTTCCGCTTTAAAAGAGTAACATTGAAGCATAAACTGGTCTAATTGTTTTACAAACATGCCTAAGCCACGACAAAGTATTCAAGGTAAATGTTTTTCGTCTTTGTTTTGTATTTTTTTTTTACATTTGTAGCTACGAAATTGGCGTCGCCAATTTTAACGAAATTTGCGATGCATTTTTCACTGTTTAGTGCTTCAAATATTTGCTAAAATTGACCGGGAATACTTAGAGATTTCATCGTAGAATGGCCTAGTTATATTTATTTGCTCTTTGACTAAAATGTTTAGCTGTATTATCGCTGAACATGCCGTTTTTGAGAATTTGGTTTGCAACTAGGTTTCAACGCCATCATCTCATTGAAAACATTAGGTCACGTCAGCTAGTTTCCTATCCATGTATTTTATTATCCATGGTAACACCAACCTAACTACTTTTAAATTTCTTCGGGAACCATAGGAATGAGAAACATAAAATGTCTGTCAAGCAACAGACTATCGTCCGCATTCTAAAAGTTCACTCACACTCAATGAGTGAAGGTTCAATCTGAGCTTCTCTTGAGTGTAAATACTGTTTTTGAATAGCTGGAAGGCGAGTAGTCACCGAGTAAGGTATGACACTAACCCTCCAGCTATTCGAAAACAGCACTGACACTCAAGAGAAGCTCATATTGAACCTCCACTCATTGAGTGCGAGTGAGCTTTTAGAATACAGGCGTATACGTTAGGCAAACTACCAACACAAAGAAATTTTATATTTTGGATTACAATTGCAAGGATTGCTACATAATACACGTGATTCATGTTACGTGACTCATGTTACATATAAAGTACATCTTCATATTTCAGTTCAGAATTATTTCCGACAGCATCTGAAATTACCATGGAACTAGTACTTATCACTGCCATGGTATTACGCGAATGTTGAACTCGTTTCATTAACTTTATGTAAATTAGAGTATAATCATTACTTTAAAGTATAAACAAGTACTCGCAGCATATTCTCAGCAAAAATTAGACTTTATCGGATATTGAAAACTGTAAAAGTGCGTCATCTGCATTATCTGCGCAAAACCATGATAGTCATGCATATGTTTAGTAAGTCTGACAGTTTGCGTTACACTGTCAGCTGGTCGCACTTCAAAACTAAGAATGTTTTCTGTAATAGTTCAATTCCGACTATGAGGACTGGACTAGATTTCAAGTGCGCGCAATTTGATCAAGTCCAAGGCGAAGTACATAATAATCGGGGCAAGGCGATATCAGTTTTATCGCTTGAGGAACGATGTGGCTTCGTCTCTCATATGATAACCTATATGAGCTCTGTTCAAGGGTTAAAAAGCACAAGAGAGCTAGATGTGATGTTTCAGTAATCACATGATAATAAATTAGAATAATCACGCCCTGTTTAACCACATGATGTCGGACGAGCAACGAGAACCGAAGCTGCAAGACTACGGGAACGCAGACGACAGATAACTCTCTACGCAAACGTCAACGACATTCAATTCCATATTATTTCCTCACAACATATTTACAACACAAACAATGACGTATATAAAGAAGAGTACAGTTATTTGTGTGATATTTCTTGTTCTTTGGGGCGTGTCGTCGCTAGTCGAAGCTTATGATCGATGCTACAGTCACTCGCGATGTACATCTCGATATCGAAGTTACAAGTATTGTTGTAAAAGCAAATCTTCCTCCTACAATACTTGTCGCGACAGTTGTGTTGGACTGTCGTGTAACTCAGATACGGATCGCGCTCCTAGAGAATGTTGTGATTCTAGCACAGATAAATGTAAGACTGGAAAGTGTGACGTGTCTGATGATTGGATTATTGCAGGTATTGTTATCGGTGTTGCTGTTGTTGCTGCCATACCTGCTGGAATTGTGTTTTGTTGCCGTCGTGCGGCAAGAGCTTCAAGACGTCCAGCTCATGATGGTATTATAGTGGCACAACCTGCGATTATAGGAACCACAGTCCTTCAAACCCAACAACAAAATCCGGTAGAACAAGGGCAACCAATGCATTTCCAAAACCCTCAACCATATCCTAAGCAACCGCTACCATATTAATTAAGCTATAAAAAACACAGTGTGTATCCACCGGGGACAAATGGTCCACCACACGACAGCATATATTTATTAAGTACAGCATTAAAAACTGAACTGTGGTCAAACCAGCCTGCGAGTACATGCGCGCACTGGCTTCAATGAAATAGTAACACAGTTTGACATAGTTATAGAGCATATATAGCTTTAATCCTTGCAGTACATTGTAAACTTTGTGAATGATTTGGTATTTTATTAAATATTTTAACATCAGCTATTGTTGAATTTGTCTTATCAATATCACGGCGTCTTTCGTAGATTGTTTACCGCGATGGGTGGTCACCACCTCATATTAATACTGGCTTACAATTGAGTACCTTATGTTGACAAGCATTTCTTTCGTGTTTCAAAAATATGGAAATTAGTTCCCAGAAAATGATATTTTGTACCAAGAAATATCAGTAACCTATATAGATTGAGATTATTTTTACCGGCGATGATAAAGTCTGCGTTACAATTTGCTTCAAATCTTTCACAAAATTGTATCTTTCGGAACGGCGATACATGGGTGGCGTGTCATGATCTCATATTAATACTGGCTTGCATTGTTGACAAAAATGTTTATATAATCAAGTATAGAACATTTTATAAAATACATTTAAGATGTTGCGTGTTTTGTAGGTCAGATAGCAAATTAATGATACGATATTGCTGAGAATCATGCGGTATTATATGATTACATTTCAAGTACAAAACTTCGGGATTACATTTAAGATAACATGTGACCATAATAGAGATGGTTGATTGGCTAAAGCGTTTGCTAAAACTCACCTCCTATTGTCACCGTAGCCCGCTAACATCCATAACTTTTGGTTAGACAGCACCATGGACTGAACGTTCTGGAGGTAGCCTGAAAAGAAAGATTTCTTGAGAAATCGTGTCCTCAGATATAGTGTTCATGTAATAAATTACGCATTCATTATGAATGTGTGTGTGTGATGTCGTGATATTGTTCACTCGGTAAGACCTTTGAAATGCTAGCTCTACACTCTAGCAACTGAGCTACACGGTCAGGTCCGATTTAACACTCGCAGAACTAGTATTGTTCGATGCTGAATTGATATAAATGAGTATGTTTACGATGTTCAATATCCAGGTGATCTCGTGTTCGTATTTTAGCCAATCAGCGCTCAGAAAGGGTTGTCCGAATAGAAATCCATTTTGATGTATTCAGTCAATTATATCTTTCGTTATTCTTTATGAAACTAGTTGAAATTTTGTAATCATGTTTGGTTATGAGAACTATAGATCTGACAAAAGTATGGAATCGAAATAAAGTATATTACAGGAGATATTCAGTTGTTTTAATCATAAAATGGATTTCTATTTGACAACTAGTGCCAGTACTTTTCCGCGTATCAAGATCATCTGGATATTATAAGTCATAATTTCCACTCGTTAATCGGTCCTGACCGGGTGTAGCTGAGTGCCTTCATCAAGGCGATAACAGGGCGACATATAGAAACAATATGTCACTGATATCGCATTTTGTCACTGGGCCGGTGCTTTCCATGTAATGGCCTGCCCGGTCAGACCCGAATTGTTGTCTCTGTACCAATGGAAAGATCGGGTCTACCTTTCTCAAATATATCTAGCGAAAATGGACCTCGTTCTAATTTTATAAAAATTTTCCAGTCAGATAGATCCGAAAACCAAACTTTTTGTGTTCCATTCAACAATTTGAGCGTTCTGAAATAGAGAGTTTGAGCAAGACAACGAAGTACGAAGACGTAGTTGACAATTTTTGCCGTCTGCAACATTATCTTGCGCATATTGAGCTGGACGTCATTGGTGGTTGTTCAGCGTCTCTTCTCCTGTGTTGCTGTTTATGAATACTGACCCTATTTCTTGCCCTGACCCAGAAAAAAAACGGCGAGACATGAAACTATATCCCGTCTTTGACCTTCTGCCTTCGTTCGGAACGAAGTTCACAACGAATTTTGCCAAAATATTCGTTGTGAACGAAGGCAGAAGAACGAAGACGGGATATGGATTCATGTCTCGCTGTTTTCTCCTGATCAGGGTAAGACTTGGGTCAGCGTTCACAAACAGCAAGACACGAATCTCTAATCTGTCTTCACCCCTGACTCTAAACTCAGAATGCGCAAGATAATGTGCAAGACAGGCACAAATTGTCAACCACGTCGTTGTCGTCCGACTTCGTTCTCTTACTCAAACTTTCTGAAAGCGCCATTGGGGCAATGATTGATATTGAAGGGTGAAAAAGAACCACAAAAGAGCTTGGTGTGATGTTTCAGTACAAGTAGTCACATGACAAGAAATTAGAATATTTACGCCCTGTTTAACCACATGATGTCGGACGAGCAATGAGAACCGAAGCCGCAAGATTACGCGGACGCAGACGACAGATAACCCTCCACGCAAACGTCAACGACATTCAGTTCCATATTATTTCCTCACAACATATTTACAACAGAAACAATGACGTATATAAAGAAGGGTACAGTTATTTGTGTGATATTTCTCGTTCTTTGGGGCGTGTCGTCGCTAGTCGAAGCTTATGATCGATGCTACAGTCGCTCGCGATGTACATCTCGATATCGAAGTTACAAGTATTGTTGTAAAAGCAAATCTTCTTCCTACAATACTTGTCGCGACAGTTGTGTTGGATCGTCGTGTAACTCAGATACGGATTGCGCTGCTGGAGAATGTTGTGATTCTAGCACAGATAAATGTAAGACTGGACATTGTAATGTGTCTGATGGTTGGATTATTGCAGGCATTGTTATCGGCGTTGCTGTTGTTGCTGCCGTACCCTCTGGAATTGTGTTTTGTTGCTGTCGTGCGGCAAGAGCTTCGAGACGTCCAGCTCATGGCGGTGCGGTTGTAATGGCACAACCCGCGACTACAGGAACCACAGTCCTTCAAACCCAACAACAAAATCCGGTAAAACAAGGACAACCAATGCAGTTTCAAAACCCTCAACCATACCCTAACCAACCGCCACCATATTAACCTCAAAGCACGGAGTATATCAACCTGGGGCAAATGGTCCACCACTATCAACGACAGCATATATTTAAGTAGGCCGACATTATAAACTGAACTGTAGTTAAATCAGCTCTGCGAGTACGTGCATGCACTTGCTTCAATGAAAAAGTAACCTATATAGACTATAGTCACTGGGGAAAAATGTGAAATCCACACAATGACTTGCAATTGCACTACTAAATCCATAGTGTATCCAACATTATTTCGATACTATATCCATAGTATGAAAATATACAATTATTATAGATCATCACAAATCCATTCTATTTCCAACAAAATTCCATACAATTCTATGGATTTTCAATTTTTTCCCAGTGAGTTGGACATAGTTATAGAGCATATGTAGCTTTAACCCTAGCAATACATTGTAAACTTTGTGAATGAAATGGTATCTTATTAAATAGTTTAAGATCAACTGTTGTGGAATTTGTCTCATCAATGTCACGGCGTTATTTCAAGTATTGCACTTTCATATCCAACACTGAAATACATAGTCATGCATAATCTTTCAGTTTCACTCATAACCAAGGCATCGACCCGAAGCGACGCGTTGTAAAGCGACGTTCAGATCATATGTAGGCTAACATTTGACCTGTTTTAGATGTTATTGTAGTATATATTGCAAGGATCTGAATTCCAAAGTTGAGAAATGTTTTTGGTTGACAATTTTGTAGCTGGTAAGACCATGAGCAACATTCATAGCACATTAGATGAACTCGACACCGTGTTAAAATTTAGACCATTTCGTTTTTGTAGTTCACAGTGTGAACATTGGAATCGAAAACAAATTTTCGTACAGTTTCGGTTTCATCTGGTCTGGTGATTGTAGTCCTAGCCTATAGTCTACACGGGTGGAAATCTCACAGCTTGTCAACAAGATGTGTTCGCACTGCTTGTTCCCAGTTGTTGACAAGTCTGGAACAAGTTGTTATCATCTTGTAACAAGGTTGATGAGGCCAACAGAGTCGCAACAAGTTGTTGCAATTTAGAATAACAAAATAGAAAACTTTGTTGATATTCAAGAATATTATAAGAAATATATTGTTGGCGAAAGATGAGGTAAAATGTGATTATACTTTGGTGAAAATAATTTAAATTGATTACGGTAGTATAGAAGATTTTATCTCGAAACAATTTCCGTCTAGTCCAACATCGTACTTTTCTTTCGCGGAAGTTAATGAAAATGAGCTGGTGAGCAAAACATAGTAGAATAGTCGGTTCCCTTTATTGCATGTTCTGAATACAACTACCAGCATGCTTTTCGGACGTGTTATTGCATGATGTAGAAAACACCCTTAAGTATCATGGTAGTTGTATTCAGAATACGCAATAAGGGGAACCGGCTATTCAGGTAACGTTCTGATAATTAAATAAATACAAAATGATCAGATATGTTATATTTAACAGTCTACTGTACCTCAGACTACTTCTGGTATCTATTTCTACGTTGAATCTAAAAAATTTTGTATGATAATAGTCAAATTGTTATGTCAAAGAAATGTTTCAATATTCTTACATTGCTCACACAACAACAGCTGTGTGAAGCCATCTTGCTTTAGACATTTCTGGAAGTTCTTCCCAAGTATAACTTTCAAAGTTGAAAGCTTCAACTGACTTTAATGGTTCATGCCCACTCGACCCTCCCAGTACTACAATGTTGTTTCCAATAACAACTGCAGTACATCCAGATCTCTTACATCTCATTGACGGCAGCATGTGATGTGTTCGTGTCACGACATTATACATGATAACTGTATCTAATGCTTCCCCCCTTTCGTGAAGGCCGCCTATAACAACGATGTTGTATCCCAATCTCACAGTTGCCATCTGACTCACTTTATACGGTAGTTCTGGCAACGGTTGAAATTCTTTCTTTTTTATATCATACAGTACGACACTGCTGAGGCTGTCTTGGTATCTGCCAGTTGTACTTCCACCAACGATCAACAGGTTATCATCAAATAATTGCGTGCAATGACCCCGTCTTGGTTCTGGCATTCTTGATAAGGTCTCGCTGGTATATGGAGGAACAAGCTGGACTTCATCAATTCTGTCGGATACATGATTTGCATCATAACCACCACCAGTGACTATCAAGCGATCATTATACAACACACTGCTGTGGTATGCCGACTTAGCAAGCAGCTTAACTGGATATTCAAACCAGGGTATTGAGAGATTACGGTTTGGGTTGATATACATTGTAAACAGATTATCGACACACTGGCTAGAAGTATGATCGTCAGAATAAAGACAATCACCTCCGGCTATGGTCACATGATCGTTGTAAACAAACGACGTCGCTCCCTGAAGTTTCTTTGGCATGGATTGTAATTGCGACCATGTTCCTCGACGCCAGTTAAACATCTCTACAGAGTCATCCCAGCCTCCAGCAACAATTATATTTTCCTTATCACCACTTGCTGTACGTCTTCTTTTTCTTGGGTTTTCTTCTATCCTGTCCTCCATCTTGACAAGAACATCCTTCATTTCATCAAAACCTTCAATCAAAGCTGCTGTCAATCCTCTTACGTTATTCTTCACCGCTTCGAGTTTTCCTTCCATATTCACTATTCTCTCCCCAAAATTTTCCTCCATTTCTCGTTCTTGTTTTAATATCGTAAAAATAAATCAAGTTCTGTGTTGATGTTAGTCGCTATGTCGTATAAATCTCACTATATATAGACTGAGTATAGATACAGTGTTCGTTCTTCGAGAAGGTCTGTGTTAGTATGCAATGTTGTAAAATGTTTAAGCGTCTTTTCCAATGCGTAATGGCTTGTGGTAACAGGTCATATATATAGCTACAATATGTAATCAAAATTTCTTATTTTAACATAATGAAATTAGCGCACAGAAAATATTTCATACCAAGAAAATATCAATGTTACACCTATGTATACAGATTGAGCATGTTATGGGGATAATGTCTACATTATAATTTGGTTCCAATCTTTCACAAAATTACGAGTTATAATGACAGCCAAGGCAGAATATGTACAGCAACACGTGATTATATGTAGGCCTAATATATCCAACAAGAGCGGAGGGGGTTGTATCAGATATATACAAACTCGAGAAGAAGGCGAGGGGTTGTATGTTTGATATTAACACCGACGCGCGTAAGGATTTCGACAGTTATGTTTCAAGAAATAATTAAAAAAGGAAGTGTTTTTAACTGAGAAAACAAGGAAATAGTTTATGCAAATCAAGAAAATTTTGTACATTTGGAAACAACACCACATATACACTGAATTATTAATGAGGTTTACAAAACAATATTAATACTGGCTTGCAATTGGTTACATTATGTTAAACAAGAGGAATTTTAAAATATGGAAAGTAGTACTGGGAAAATGATTTTAAATTCAAGAACGGCTCACTTTATATAATATATTCAATATATAATAGACTGGAGTGTCGAAACGTTGTGTCGTGATTACATTATTTCATTAGACCAGAGTATACTCCTATATAGGCTATATATAGTGTCGTAGTCCCTACCTATACTTCTTTATTATATAGTAGAGAGTGAGATACTGAAAAATACACAGTGAGATATTTTCCATATCTTCACTAGTGAAGATATCGATCACGTGACTTTTAATATTTACACAATTTTTTGCTTGGGACTATATAATAAACAGAACTTTACACGTTAGCTTGAAGATATGACTTTTATCTTCTCGTGTTAAAAATAATATTTTACTTACTCGCTGCGCACGTTGGTAAAATATTGTTTTCACCACTCGAAGATAAAAAGTCATATCTTCGCGCCGCCGTGTAATATCCTCTATATATTGTATTTGACATGAACAAAAATATTACGATTTTACTAACACTATTTTCATATCGAGTTGTAATTTATTCAACCGTATAATTGCCCTCCGTTTTCCGTTGTCCGCATCTTAAACCCCTAAAATGCCACGGCAGTATTAGACTTTCCCAAAGTTCTTTCCAGTTTTTTTTCGCAGTTAAATTCCAGAGATCGAGATCGACTTGTGGGCGAGTCTACCGCAGTATATGCCAATTGTTTGAATTGAGAAATTAAAAATATTTTCAATGTATCCATTGAATACATGTAAACAATTCCTAAATTTTCTGGCTGACAACGAAAGCTACTTCTACCGATTGGCGAGAAATTAATACTGATCTTATAAAGTTTACAAATTTCTCATGAACGATGTGATATGTGTTTTCTTATAACCAAAATATATCGTGTTGAAAAATTCTTTCTTTATCATATGTTTTATCACTATTTTGAGAATTTAGAAATAAAGTCGAAAATGTACTTCCTGTTGTTTGCGCTGTTATTCATCTATATTTTATTTAGGCTGAATTAGTGTTTAAGGATTTTGAAATTGTGTAGTTTCAAATGAAATGCGCGTTTACAAAATGTAACCGGTCCCGTTGATGCTGTGCTTGCCAAGAACTAAATTGTTTATTCCTTTTCACCCGCGCATAAATATAAACAACGCGTTCTAATATTAAACAACGCGATACAATAATATATAAAACAACGCGTTCTAATAATATAATCAACGCGGTCTTAAGGCCGAGCTAGGACACACCCCGAAAAATCGCGCCGCGTTGTCGAATCGCGTTCGGTGTGTCTCGGCCTTTAGCCGTCAGCCGTTGCAGCTTTATTCAGGACGCAAAGATAGGGTCCTAGTATAACATAAAAGTGAGAATTATCTTTTGTAGCGCTAGTTTTATCACTGTAGTATTTTACTATGGTTAAGGTTTGACGATGTTACTCATGTAATCAGGATTCCCTGTGATAAGCTCACGGTTGCGCGATTACAGTAAAACAGCCCACGCAACGCGCGTGACAGCGTTCAGTTGAACCGCGCACATACAACAAAATCCAATTTCTCGCCATGTTAGTATTGATTACAGTTATCATTTTAAGAAATACAATAATGAAATGGATTGCATAGAGATATTTGAAGAAAATATGAATTTACGAACACTATATTTATAGGTTTGATAATGGAATGCGCCACATTTTTTTTCTAATTTAGTCAACCGAAATCGAGAATAAACATCTGGGGCCGGTTGTATAAAAACGTAGTTAGCGCTAACTGTAGTTAGCGTTAATCACTGTAGTTAAATCCTTAACTGTAATTAGTTAACTACATGACTTAACTGCGTTGCACAAAACGTAGTTAGTCGGATAGTTAACTAATCACGTAGTTAACTGTGCGTGGGGCTTGCGTGGGGCGTTTAAACAGAAAATTACATAAAGTAAGCAGGGAGTAACGACCGCTGACAGACATTTTCAACAAGATTGTGGACTCGAATTTTGCAAATAGGCGGGAATTTTATTCAAAACACTAGAAAACAGTGAAAAATAAACAAGAAAACAAGGAAAAACCGCCACAAAAATCATAAAAGAATGCAGTTTTTCTTTGAGATGTCTACGTTAAACCAAGGTATAGCTGTTTGGCAATTATATTTCAGTGTTTCTTGGTGTAATGGACCATACTTCGTCTTCGAGAAATCGTCCTGTGCAAAAATATGTTCTGTTTTCGTAAAAACACCAAAGCGATAGCGTTTGAAGAGTTTATATTGTCAGGAAACATTCACAGGGAAGATAGCGATTGAAAATCTCAGGTAAGCGTTGCTTTTCATTATTGTTTTACTGAAAAATGTTGTTCACTCCTATACAAACGCCATTTTTAACTACGTTTTGGACAGTTAACTATACCCTAAAGCATAGTTAACTTTAACTACTTTTTAACTTCAGTTAAGGCTAACTACACTTTTATACAACCGGCTTAACTACGTGATTAAAGTTAACTATTTTTTAAGGCTTTTTAACTACTTTTTAACTGCAGTTAGCGCTAACTACGTTTTTATACAACCGGCCCCTGCTGTTTAAAATGTTAAAGTGTACACAGTTGTTGCAAGGAACATTGATTGTGTGGGCGTTTTTCTCCCGTCTTAGTATAATATAACATAAATAACGCAGTGTTACGCGTCAGTTGAAGCGCAACTCTGCAGCAGATACAACAAAGACTCTCAGCCGATCTCCTCTATCGTCAATACCTTTCCAGGTTAGTATAATTGATCTAAATTTTATAAGATGCATTGTATATTAGCAAAACTTCTGGCCTCGTTAAAGCCATGATGTTAGAATATTTATTACATCCGTTACTTCCTAGGCTCTCTACTTCCGCTTCCCTCTCAAACACGCTCCACCTTTTTATTTATATATATATATATATATATATATATATATATATATATATATATATATATATATATATATATATATATATATATATATATATATAAAAGTGACAAAGTAGGTCATATCTCGAATACGCATGCGTGCTACATGTCGTAATTTCAAAGCAGCGTAACTAAGCTTGATTACTAAGCTTGAAATGTTTGCTCCCATTATGCTTTGCGCGCTTATAGTTTAAGGTTTAAGGTTTAGAGTTTAAGGTTTTCAAAGGACAACCTTTTTTGAATTAGCTGTATGTATATATATATATATATATATATATATATATATATATATATATATATATATATATATATATATATATATATATATATATATATATATATATATGCCTCGTACATATGCCTAAAAGGAAGAATCTTTTATAACGCTAGTTGTGCTACTGTAGTATTTTACACTGCATGGTTAAGCTTCAATGATATCACTCATGTAATCAAAAATCCATGTGATAAACTCATCCTCGCGCGATTAGTAAATCAGTCCACACAACGCGCGTGACAGCTTTCAGTAGAACCGCGCACATACAACAAAATTCTATCCTAATTCAATTTCTCGCCGTGTTAATATTGATTAAAGTTATCATTTTCAAACCTGATGAAATGGATTGCACTGAGATAGCTGCAAAACTATAAACTTACGAACACTGTATTTAGGTTTGATAACGGAATTATGGTGCCATCTTTCTCGTCATTTAATCAACCGAAACGGAAAATGCGCACCTGCTGTTTGAATTATTTATACGTCTACACAGTTGTTGCCATAAAAACTGATTGTGTAGGCGTTTTGCTCGCGTCCTAGCATCATATATAACATAAACAACGCTGTGTTACGTGTCAGTTGAAGCGCAACTTTGCACGCAGATACAACAAAAACACTACAGTCGATCTCCTCTATCGTCAATACCTTTTCAGGTTAGTATAATTCGATCTGAATCTCATAAAATGCAGTGTAAATTAGCAAAACCTCTAGTATCGTTAAAGTTATAGATGTTAGCATATTTATTATATTCGTTACTTGCTACGAAACTTCTTTTGTGTATATGACACAACAAATCAACGTTGTTTGAAGCGCACATTTATTCAGCTATAAAACAGGTTGAAATTCACTTAAACGTTCATAGAGGGCCACCTTAATTAAACGTTCATCATTTTCAACAAGTTGATATTTAAATTTACAGTCTACACAGGCAGAGGCGAATTAGCGCCTGTGGGATCGGGCGTTAATGCTCAAGGCTCCTTTGTTTACGCCATTGAAGCAAGTCCACGAAACGATTGACTATGACATAAACCCGACATTCAGGGGCGTAACTACAGGGGGGTTGGGGGGGGGCAACCCCCCCCCCCCAATCTTTCGAACGGTACTCTCGTCGGGCAAAAACTAAGAAAAGGTCGGGCAAAACTACTGAAAATCTATTCGAAAATTTTCGAAGAACAGGCAAAGACTCGAAAAGGGACGAAACTTCGAAAAGACTCGAACAGGGACGAAACTTAAGGGTGTGTGTGACACCAACCCCAAGCTGGATTGGCAGGGCCAATCATCTGGATGGGCAGGGCAATGAAAGATTCCCCCCCCCCCATTTTTTAGGAAAAATATTGACAAAAGAAATTTTGCTGCAGGGCATCATCGGTTTCGCAGGGCAATTCTAGCAGACCCCCCATCAAAAGGCCCGGGCTAGTTACGCCCCTGAATAAGCATCACTAAAACTGTAATATTTTGTTAAGATTTAAAATGTACTAAAATAAGAAAATACACTACTTAATTATGGGATACTGTGTTTTGGTTTTGTCACATGCCTGCATTGAGATTGGGTAATTTTGTCACATGCCTGCCTTCAGGTAATTATGGCGTCACATGCCAAATGAAAGCAAGATCCTCCAAATTAGACACGTTCCAGTCTTCTGATGTGAAAAAGCGCTGACAGAAATATAAATAGAAGGTCCTAGGTATAGGCTGAGTGTTTGGTATTTTTCATTGGCGAAGTAATACACTTTACGGCTAGTTTAGGCGATTTAAGAAAATTTCGGCCACGTTTTTGGCTGCGAGTCAGGGGATTGAAAGCGAGATAAGGCAGTTTATAAATTCCAAATTTAAAAACTGGTTTGCATACGATGCATACTGACTGGAGTTTGTTGCATACGATGCATACTGACTGGAGTTTATAAAATAAGAAAAAGTTCACTATTAATTAAAAACCTTGTAGGAAGTTGAAAAAATTTCCGTCAAGAAAAAGGAGTTGACTTGAGTTGGAGAGAATGGCTGGAGCACCAAACGAAGTGGACAAAGTAGACGTCAATAAACTCTTTGATCATCTCTCAATTGATAAAAAGTCCAAATTAAAATGGGGAAGCGGTCGTCAAGAGTTAGAAAGTTTTGTCAAAACAGCGCTTTCACCACTGGTCGGTAAATGGTCGTCTGATGATTCCACGCACAAGTTTAAATCAAACGGGATCACGATAACGTTTTACAATGTCAATGTCAATGAAAGAAACACACTTTTAATTCAAGGCAACATTGGAGAAGAACTCAAGAACCACTTGCTAAACATAGCAAATGAAACTGGCGATACCAGGTTAGTGGTAAATGACTCCACTGCTAAATGATTCGTGCCGAGCGGTACCTGTTTGGGGGAAGGGAGGTCGACGCTCCAAAAACTTTTTCAAACACTAGTTTTACGTAAGGGGGGCTTAAATTTAGTTTTTCAGACCTTTTTCGACCTCAAATTTCCAGAAAATTCCTTAATCTTTAACACGTTCCGCAACTCCAGCACTCCAGGGCCCCTAGCTCTCCGCAAATTGGGCCCCCTCTTTTACTATTCTTTGTGGGGGGGGGGGGTCTCCCTCCAGTAGTTCCGGCCCTGGGTTGCAATTATCCTGGACGAGAAGTTATAGCCAAACTTGGTGTTACTAAAACTAGAAAATATAAAAGAAAGCGGAAAAAATTTCCGTCAAGAAAAAGGAGTAAATGATCGGAAAGTAAAGCGGGTCGAAATATAATCGCATGCAAAGAATTTCCAGTATTTCCATGGACTTTTCTCGTTCTTCCAAACTTCCACAAGCATTTCTATTTTATAGGCTTCCCTTGATCGACTCATTACGTGACTTCCTTAGGTAAGTAAACATTGATTGGCGTCAGAATGAGTAAAATAATGGGAAACGGTTAAGACAACGCGCCAGTATTCCATGGAAGAGAAATTAACTCATTGTTCTACTGTTAAACTATATATACTTCAAACTTTATCTAAAAGATATGCAAAATCGTTTCAGAGTATATCTGAAACCTCTTAGAACGCCCTGTATTTGTTAACTCTGTCACTATTACATGCGAGTCAGGGTTGTACGAAGGCTGGATAGCGCTATCCACGGGAGAGTGATTTTTTTCAGCGGTTGTAAAAATACTTAAAAAGTTATAAAATTACGAATATGGACCTCACAACTGATAAAAGAAACTTTAATCTATAAATATTAAAGTTTAGTCTGTGTTTACCAATGGGATTATTTGAAAAAGCTCATGTATGCATGCATGCAGCATACAGTTTCCTAGTAGCGTTATCTATTTCTTTTACCCGTAACAATGTAATTTAAACCTAACAATGGCTGTAATTCCGGTTTTTCCTACAAACGCACAATTCTGTATTTCGAGTTACGCCAAGTGCAATGCTTAAATCCTGTTGTATTTTACGATAGCGTGAATATAGCATAGCTACAAAGCACGAAATATTTTCACAGTCTTAACCAGAAATGTATATTTTATTAATTTAGTAAAAACTTGGACGGAGATGAAAATAAATGTAAGGGTAAGTGCAGTGAAATTTACCCCATTCAAAATGAACATATCAAACGTGTAGGAATCCTTGGATCAAAGGGTCAGTTCTGTGCTGCCTTCTACCATGTTCACAAATGGGGTCATAGAAAGCATTTCTGTCTCGACGAGGATAGTTGCATTATCGCTAAGCGAACAAAGGATCATGTCATGGAATTGGCACAGGAAGCAGAAAAATTTGCCGAGAAAGTAAAGAATCTTGACGAGGAATTAGGAACCGCATTTTACGAGGAAGCAAAGCAATTTGCTGCCAAGAAACTAAACATATCTGCCAGGGAAGGAAAGGAATTTGTCGACAAAACAAAGAAATTTGCCATGAAAGTCCCAAAATCATTTGACGAAAGAGCAAAGAAAGCTGTCGAGAAACAAAACAAAGCAAAGAAAGCTACCAAGAAACAAAAGAAAGCAAAGCAACTTGCTGAAGAAGTACAGCAACTCGTTGAGAAAGCAGAGCAAGTTGCTGAGGAAGCAAAGGAACTGGTTAAGAAAGCAGAAAAAGCATGGTGTTTTCAAGCCAAAACAGTAGTCGCTGTTGTAAAATTCGAAAAAGATGGGAAGATTCTGTATGAAGCAAGATACACCAACTGTGGCGAAAAGCAAAAGCATGCCGAAGATTTCTTTCAAGAAGACATAAAAAAGGGAAAGTTGGGAGAGAAAGTGGAAGCCAACCCAAATGGGACTATAACCTTGTACCTTACGCTTCAGCCGTGCAACAAGTCCACAAGTATTGAAGGAACAGCAACCACTCCGAAAGACAAAACTTGTTGTGAAACACTTGAGAATATATTTAACGACACACTGCTGCCAAAGAAGATAAAGTTGTACGTTAAAGCAGCCAACTTATGTCGATTAAGTCTAATACCAGAAAACGACTCAGATGATGAGACCCTGCGAAAGAATGCTGTGGATGGAATAGAAATGTTGATGGGAATTGGTGTAAAATTCAGAAGGGTGACACGGGAAGATTGGCACTATCTTTTGTCCTTGACCAACGAATTACATAATCGCGAAGATCTTGAGGTTCATGAGGGTCGCGAAAATTTAGATACAAGTGTTCAGAGTATTTTTGATCAAATGCACAAAACAATTAGCAGCTAAATTTAATCAAAAAGTTAACATTAATCCAGCTAAAAACCAAACATTGTGAACCGCTTTTCGAACAGTTTGTGACTTGTTTCGAACATGATATCGGACTCAACGCAATTTTCGACATGACTGAACATTTGTGTTTTTCATGTTTGCCTAAAATGAATTAATTTGAATAATTTTGCCCTCTATATGATTAAAGTAGTAATTTATTATCTCATAATTATTTAACCACACGTAAAATTCGTAATTTAACCAATATAATAAGTTATATCGTGTTGCATGGATTGCGAAAATGTTGGTAGATCGATGTGGATAAAGTCTGTATTACAATTTGCTTCAAATCATTCATAAAATTATGTCTTTAGGGCAACATACCAATATCGTTTCCGTGCAAGTATTTCAAGCGTCTTTTGCAGACTGGTATTTCTTTATACAAGATAGAATATTTAATGTACCGCGATGGGTGGCCATCACCTCATATTAATACTGGCTTGCAATTGGTCACACATGTTGACCAGAATTTCTTGTTTCAAAATATGGAAATTAGTTCCGAGAAAATATATTTTGTAAGACTGAGAATATTATTTTGATCGGCGAGGGTAAAGTCTGTATTACAATTTGCTTCAAATCTTTCATATAATTGTGTCATTTGGAACGGGAATGGGTAGCATATAAAATACACTTAAGATGTTGGACGTTTTGTAATTCATGCAGATAGCAAATTAAAGATACTTATTCTTGTGTTGAATGTTTGCATGGCGATAAAATATAATTGTTTTTGTTTGTGGAAACACCACGTAAATTTATTACTGCAAAGCTTTCGATCCGTAAGCCCGGATCTTCATCAGTGCTAATAATATGACCCGTAAGCCCGGATCTTCATCAGTGCTAATAATATGACATATTATTAGCACTGATGAAAATCCGGGCTTACGGATCGAAAGCTTTGCAGTAATAAATTTACGTGGTGTTTCCACAAACAAAAACAATTATTAAATTAAAGATAATTACGACATTGCCGAGAATCACGTCATATTATATCATTACATTGCTAGTACAAAACTTTGGGATATCATGAATTAAAACCCGCACAACCCCGTCCCCATTTAAGGTAACACGTGATTTTAGTAAAGATATTTGATTGCCTAAATAAAACGTTTGCTAAACGTCACCTGTTATTGCCATCGTGGCCCGCAAAAACCCGTAACTTTAGTTGCTGATTCGCCAAGCTCCAAGATGTAGGTCCAGGCAAACAGGTTTTCAGTTCGTTCTTGCAAGTTTTTTATTATATATTTTAAAAGTCTCACTCATTTCTGCCTTTGCTTGACCACGTAAAATGTAATGCTTTGCCATTATAGTGATGAATGTTTCAGGCATGTTTAAAATACAGAAACTATTCTTGTCAAACAAATGCAAATTTCGCAAAGCATAGATATATCGTTCGCACAGCAAGACAGATAATTGTGCAATACTTCAATAACAATTATTTAATCTTTCAAAGAAGTTTAGCTTTGCCAATTCACAACAATTACAGTTACATTAAATCTTCGAAATGTCTCTAATTCGGAAACATTCTTGAATTTTCGGTATGAAACAAAGTTGGTATATTTTGAATTTCGAATTGATACGTGGAATTTCAAGCTGATATACTTGGAATTCTAAATAAATGCAAATGTCTCAACATATATCAAATTGTCACAACATGATAGTTAAGATGGTATTGTCAAACCAAACCGGTTATCCCCTTATAAGGATATTGAGAGATTGCCGTTTAAATGCCGTTTAGATGTTCTGAACACAATACATATTACGACAAATTAAGGTGTCGCTCAAACACAAAATACTGTTGACGCCGTCTACATCAATTTGTTACAAAATTTTCAAAGATTACCTATCACTCACCATTTCTCAACTTTGGTAAGTCTAATTTTATCTTCCTGGTAATATTCAAATAACTCACAACTAGGATCCATCATGAAAACTCTAAGAACTCGCTGCCAATCTTTGTAGACTTGATAGCTCAACAATTAGATCAGTGGACTAAACTTCTGAAGATCGAGAGTTGAATAATCTGCGAGATTAAACTTGATAGCTCAACAGGTAGAGCAGTGGACTAGATTCCTGAAGGTTGAGAGTTTAAATCTCGTGTACTTATATAGGATAAGAACTCATCACCAATCTCTGTAGACTTGATAGCTCAACAGGTAGAGCAGTAGCCTGGATTCCTGAAGGTTGAGAGTTTAAATCTCGTGTACTTATAAAGGAGAATAAGAACTCGTCACCAATCTCTGTAGACTTGATAGCTCAACAGGTAGAGCAGTGGGCTGGATTCCTGAAGGTTGAGAGTTTAAATCTCGTGTAATTATAAAGGATAAGAACTCATCACCAATCTCTGTAGACTTGATAGCTCAACAGGTAGAGCAGTAGCCTGGATTCCTGAAGGTTGAGAGTTTAAATCTCGTGTACTTATAAAGGAGAATAAGAACTCGTCACCAATCTCTGTAGACTTGATAGCTCAACAGGTAGAGCAGTGGGCTGGATTCCTGAAGGTTGAGAGTTTAAATCTCGTGTAATTATAAAGGATAAGAACTCATCACCAATCTCTGTAGACTTGATAGCTCAACAGGTAGAGCAGTGGGCTGGATTCCTGAAGGTTGAGAGTTTAAATCTCGTGTAATTATAAAGGATAAGAACTCATCATCAATCTCTGTAAACTTGATAGCTCAACAGGTAGAGTAGTGGACTAGATTTCTGAAGATTGAGAGTTTAAATCTCGTAGGATAAGAATTCGTCACCAATCTCTGTAGACTTGATAGCTCAACAGATAGAACAGTGGACTAGATTCCTGAGGGTTGAGAGTTTAAATCTCGTGTACTTATAAAGGATAAGAACCCATCATCAATCTCTGTAAACTTGATAGCTCAACAGGTAGAGTAGTGGACTAGATTTCTGAAGGTTGAGAGTTTAAATCTCGTGTACTTATAAAGGATAAGAACTCAGAATCAGAATCACATTTATTTCACACGTATTTAAACTAAGTAAGAATAACATTCAGAAAAATTATATGGTTACAAAAACCAAAGCCCACATATTAGAACTACTATATTAAACAAACGTGTACAGTGATCAAAATAGCGGAATGCTTTCGAGTTGATCACTGTATATATGTATCATATTGTTATATAAAAGTGACATAACAGAACTATCTCTGCAGATTTGATAGCTCAGCAGGCAGAATAGTGGACTGGATTCCGGAAGGTTGAGAGTTTAAATCTCGTGTACTTATAAGGATAAAAACTCGACATCAATCTCTGTAGACTTGATAACTCAACAGATGGAACACTGGACTAGATTACTGAAGGTTGTTTGAGAGTTGAAATTTTGTATATTTTATAAAGGATAAGAACTCGTTACCAATTTCTGTAGACTTGATAGTCAACAGGTAGAGTCAAGGTAGATCAGTGGACTAGGTTTCTGAATGTTGAAAGTTAAAATCTGATGAATTTAATAATTAAGAGCTCACCATCAAGCTCTGCATAGGCTTGATAATAATATAACATTAGTACTGATGAAAACCTGGACTCAGGATTGAAAGCTTTGCAATAATAAATATATTTGGTTGTCTTCCACAAACGAAAACAAATATTATATTATAGCCATGAAACGATACAATAAACTTAAATGCAAATTTTCAAATGTTCAAAGTTGAGAGGTTAACGTATATAACAGTACAATAGGAGTTGTAATATTTCAATGAAATTCAAGTTTGCTTGACCATGAGAAATATATAGTTATACGCTAAATCTTTAAAAACCTCTCTTATTTGAACTGTTACGCCAAACCTTAATTAATACGCTAAATCTTTAAGAAACTCTCTTATTCGAACTGTTCTTTCGATATGAGACAAAGTCAATACTCGGAACTACAAACCGATACTTGGAATTCTAAAGAGATGCAAATGTCTCATGATATATCAAATTGTCACAGCATGGTGGTTCAAATGGTATTGTCAAACTAAATCAGTTATCCCCTTGTAAGGATGTTGAGAGATTGCCGTTTAAATCACGATATGTTTCGAACACAATACATATTCCGACAAATTAAGGTGTTATCTCAAACACAAAATACAGTTGACGCCGCCTAGATCAATTTGTAACAGAATCTTGACGATTACCTATAAGTCACCTTTCGTTAACTTTGGTAAATCTAATTTCATTATGCTTATAATATTTAACTAGCTCATAACTAATGCCCATCATGCAAACGCTAAGAACTCGCTGTCAATCTCTGTAAGCTTGATAACTCAACAATTAGACTACTTGACTAAACTCTTGAAGATTGAAAGTTAAAAGATTGAATAATCTGTCATCATCCCTCAAGTTAGGAAAATCTCTCGAGTCGTTCATGTCATATACAGTATATTTATTATTATCCTGGATAGGAAACTCTTTCAACCATAGACGAATTTTCTAGGGGGAGGGGGGATGCTTCTACCCCCAAATATTAGTTTTTACAACCCCCCCCCCCCCCAAACAAAGTGTCACCCCTTGAAAAAAAGGTTCAACCCCCTCTCCCCCCCCCAATTTTAAGCATTTTAGTTCATTCCAAGGTGCCGAGTGTTTATAATAAAAAAAAACAAATGTGGAAGCCAGAGTGGAAAGTTTGTAGGTTGCGCCGAAGATCGTCGGCGTGGAAAATTCATAAATTTGCTTCATTTTGGCGCAGAATTATGGGGAAATGAACTGGTGTGACGCACTGGCGCATGGCATACAAACATATTTACTTGTGCACACTACAACGTTCTCAACCACTTATGCCTGTATTTCAGCTATTTAATAAAGGAATTTGATTGAGCACTGACTGACCGTATTTCAAATGTTTAGTATCTGTGCTGTCTGACTCTAAAAGTTGGCCGCGCATGTGAATATGTTTAAAACAGGATTTGTGCAGCCAATGACGCATGTTACTGAATCTTGATCAAATCTTCAGCGCACAAAAAACAAACTTTC